GGTACTTTGGTGTTCTGTCGATCAAATGAGAATTGATTTTATTATGACAGTGTGGTTACAAATAATTTTTTAATAATTCTTTTGTGCGGTGAGACTTTTAAAAAAGAAGATTGACGATACATTTTATAAAAAAAGATCAATGTCACTGTTACAAATCGATATCTTAAATAAACGTTTATAAAATGTTGAATTGAGTAGTAAAAATTATGAATTTCAATAAAGAAGTTTTGCTCTCAATTAAGTTCAAAATCTCAGGTTGAAAGGATTTTCTTAATTATTCAATCAAATATTACTTCACAACAAAATTAGATTATTTTACTTTCTAGTGAATAATAAACTATCAATATACATAGCCTGTAAAAAAAACATTTTTATATTACAATGATACGTCACAAGCAAAATAAAAATAAAAAAAAAAAAAAAGTATTAAGATTAAAGTAAATGAGCTTATTCCTTAACTCTTTAAACTGTTCTGAAAATGGAGCAAAATAAATAACAGAAAAAATAAGATAAAGCAGAAATAGCATTTTTGCAGCATGATTAAGTAGAACGACAGAAGGACAAAAAGAAGTAAAGCCCTAACCGAGAGAAAGAAAGGGAGCGCACAGCCAACGACGTATACATGTGCGCTTGACTGTAACTCAAAGCCAGCTAGCTATACTATAATATATGTTGTCAGTCACGACAGTATGATACTCCCTCAGCCCGAGTGAGATGGAGAGACTCTATTACGCTTTGTACTTCTCTGCATCCTTAAGTGAACATATTAGCTGATTTACTGGACCGTCTAAGAGAGAAAGAGAGAGATGCGGACTTTATTTATACGCGTCGTCGTCGTTGTCAGCGGATATACATATACACACATTCTGTGAGAAGACGCTTCTACCGATCATTAACGGATGCCTATGCGCGAGCTCGTAATTTATCGCACGTCTTAGCGTCCCTTTGTTCAAACACTTCCGTCGTTGTTATTGTTTTTGCTGTGGCCGCATTTGCGGCTCCAGAATTTTATTTGTGCAGCAAGCTTTTTTGATATTATTGTAATATTAAGTATTAAATTTTAAATGCAGTATTTTTTTAAGCGAAAACTCTTAGAATAATTCCGATTTTTTTAGTAGAAGTGTTTCATGTGATCTCACCGTTTATATTTTAATTCCGAATATACCACATGCGTGCAAAAGAAAATAAAATTTTGCTTGGTTTTTTTTTGTCTTTACATACGTACAAATATTAATGCTACTGCCATAAATTTACGATTATGTAATGTAATAAATTAAATAACAATTGTTAAAGAACTTTTTTAAAATTAAATCGTATGTGAGGTCATTAATAGATACATTCTACTCGTAAAATTTCAAAATAGAACGGTGTTACGTATAATTTTTTTTATTGTACAACTTATAAAAAAGCTTTGTTAATTATTTTTTATTAATTATTTCCCATAAAAAACAATAATATACAGATACATGATAATATCAAATAAAACGAAGATTGTTTTTATAACAAAAAGTTAATTATTATAATTTATTCAGCCAAGAGGTATATGTTTCCGTATTATATACTGGAATGGCAAAGTTTTACCGCTATAGAAAACAAAAAAAAATTAAAAATGAAAACAATAAAAAAAATTGAAAACTATATTTTAAATGCATTTTAATCAAGATATAAGCAGAAAATCTGTATGAATTGAAATTTGTTGTTCCTTGGAAAAAAAAAAAGCAGATGCAGGACACACATTTACATTAAATAAACTTGAATCGTAGTCTTCAAACCAACACTTGAGTAACGTTTTATTTTTTTTCCGTTTACATTAGTTAACATTTTTAATGCATGAGGCAGTTTATTACAATCTGAAATAGCTGTTTATTTATGTAGCAACGTTTACCACTTTAAAGTTTACAGACAACAGTTAAATTCTTTTATTTCTAGTTTTGCTTCGATTATTTAAGCATTCTATTTTCGCAGTAAATTGAATGTAAAAAGTAGACATTTTTATTTGAATACTTATTCAATTGAGGCTTGAGACATATGGCAATTAATCATATTAAAAAATAAATGGAGGTGTCATCCAGCGGATTTAAAATTCAAATTCAAATTAAAAAAAAAAACTTTCTTCTCAAAAGAAAAAAAATCTGCGATTTTTATAAAAATCGAAAATTCTTTTATCTCTACAGCAAAAAATACTAATTTTGATACTAATTCTATTACTGCTAATACTACTACTAATACTAATAGAATTCTATAATTTTTTTTTTTAACTGACGTAATAAATAAATATTTTTATTTTCAATTTGAAAATTTTTTTCTTTTACAATTTTAAGCGCAGAAGAACATATTATTTCACAGAAAAAAAATTGAAAACAATTAAGCTAATCATAATTTGAACTTTTAATCAATTCATTTAGTTTATAATAAGTATACACTAACGAGCGAAAGAATTCTAGTAAAGGCATCGACAACTTTATAAGACAAAGAGTTGTTCTGCAGGTAACAGCGCTCGAATCATCGCTCTAATTCTTTTACAAAGTTTTTCGTTTGTTACGCTTGCCGGGTGACGTTTGAGTTTTTTGAGTCCCTTGTAATTTTTTCTCATCAAGGAATACATTAGAATATTCGATTATAGGAATTTTTTTGAGAAAAGGTATTTTCACAGATAAACATTTTTTTCGTGAAGTTTTAATATTGTTAAAATTTTTTAAAACTAAAGTAAAGCTTTTTATTATCAATCAATATACGTTCAGGCAATGGATTATTTTTAGGAAAAAAAAAAAAAAAAAAAAAAAAAAAAAAAAAATCATCAAATGAGAATTGATTTTATTATGACAGTGTGGTTACAAATAATTTTTTAATAATTCTTTTGTGCGGTGAGACTTTTAAAAAAGAAGATTGACGATACATTTTATAAAAAAAGATCAATGTCACTGTTACAAATCGATATCTTAAATAAACGTTTATAAAATGTTGAATTGAGTAGTAAAAATTATGAATTTCAATAAAGAAGTTTTGCTCTCAATTAAGTTCAAAATCTCAGGTTGAAAGGATTTTCTTAATTATTCAATCAAATATTACTTCACAACAAAATTAGATTATTTTACTTTCTGAAAATATTGGTTTCAATCCAGAAAATAATTATGTTACAGTACAAAAGAAATATTCGATTGAAGTTAATTTAGAAAATGTTCTCTTAATCCTGAAAAAAAAATTTTTTCTTGCACTCATCGAGAAACTTGAAATAATTATTACACTTCATCCATTCTTTAAATCGACAAATAAAAAAAAAGGAAATACCTCGTCCTCTTCCTTCTTAAGACACTTACTCGAGCATCTTAGCTTGCCCCGTCAATTAACCGAATTATCGAGTGTTCTTAAAAGCGAGCTAAAATTTCCCCATCAAGTTCGAAGCTCGCTTTTCACATCTCACACTTGAGCACAATTAGCAGCGGCAGTGCTTTTGACATATTGAGTTAGCAAACATGTACACATTTTTATATACTTAAAAAAAGAGAATAAAAGAGAGAAAAAAAAATTGGGCACCTATTTTGCACGCTTAGGTATACTGTTTCGCAATTTTCAGTCGAAGCGGCTGGTCGCAAGCATCCCTGTGACGCAGTGGTACCAATTATAATGCACGAAATAGCCGTGGGCTCACCTACGTTACTTTGTAAAATTACGCCCAAAAAATCGCTCGCGTTAAAACACGATGTGAGTAATTAGCCGTAGCGCAACAACAATAACAGTCGCAAAGAAAACTCTTCCCTGCCTTTCGAACAGATACGCCAGCGCTCTCTTCCGTTCGTATACGTATACTCTTCAAAATGGCTCTCACCCGCGAGTTTTTATTTTTATTTTCGTTTGTTCCGTAAATTAGTTGATTAACAAAGAGATGAAGAGTTGGTTGACAATTTTTTATTCTCACGTTTCCTTTATCAAGGGTTCTGCGCTCGTTCACGTGCTCACGTTGATGAACAGCTCGTTTAGCTCGAAAAAAATTTTTTTCAAATGCGCAGAATACAGTGCACAGCATGTGAACAAAAAACGCAGCCCGTGACACGTGAAATAACAAATGTTGTAACGCGTTAACGAGCGTGCATCTGAAATTATAGGGGAATTTTTTTTATTTCACTGTACAAAGTGGTCAGGTGATGGTTAAACATTTTTCGCGCTTGTTAGCGACTTTTGAGGTTAGTTTTTGTTTTTCTGTGCGTGTGGGGGTTATGGTTCAGAGAGTTGGATGATGATAATTGGGGCTCAGTTCGATAAACTAAATCTAGTTGTGGTTACTCTGATTCACATTTGCGGTTCATAAGATAATTTAAAAAAAAAAAATCACTCTTTGGGCATAATCAACCAGAAAAACCTTCATAAAATACAGCATAGTGAGCAATAAACTCTGTGGTATTTACCGTACTACAACTTTGGTGTATATTTTACTAAAAATGTATTAGTTATTGGTTATTTTCAGCCCTTTTTTTTAACATGAAATTTTTAATATTTTCGAGAAAGACCCAGGGAGAGGAAAAAAAAAAGAAAAACAGACGGGGTGATGGTGAAAACGGCGCTTTATAGCAAATGCGTAAAAAAGAAGTAGAAACCCTATCAAGCTTTTACGAGGCATTTCTTACGCATGGCTGTGTATCGAGTCCATAAAAATTCTAACGAAACGTCTTTATTGCGCAAAAGAAAGCGGGCAAGGCTGTCTTCTTTTTTTCCCCTGGAGAATGAAAAAAATTACGGCTTCGTATTAATCGTAAAATTCCTTTA